ATAGCTCCCTTAGGTCAAGTAGCTATAATTGATAACCTAAGTTCACTAACACGAGCATGCAATACATTCATCCCAGGACTGACCACAGGACGGTGAATACCCTCACACGTCTTTACTGACATTAAGTTCGTGCCTACCAGCACGCACAAATAATGAGGACGCAAAATGTATTAAACAAAGTCATCACCAAAAACGTAGTGGCACATAAGAGCCCACATAAGAAATACTATGTTCAGGCGTCCTTGATCGTTTCTAGATATATTCCCGTCATTTTTCGGATGGACTTTTTCGTTATTTGAAGCCCTACTCTGGCTCTTGTCAGGGGCCGCAATATAGCCTGGCCATAAATATGGCCTAAAGGCTGAACCTCTCCACGGTGATTCTCACCCACATGGTGGCACATAGTGTCATCGGGTGTTTATCGCTTGTGTGATGTCCTGGTGGGGTAGAAAGTCAGTCAGTCAGTCAGTCAGGCGTCCTTAGAATTAATAACAAGCAGCGCTCTGAAGATAGAGACAAAATACAGAAATCCAGCCAGCCAGTTACCACCAGGCTAGCCATACATACGTAAACTGTCCGAATTATGTATACTCGGTTTTGTTGTAAAATAATAACTGAATTATAAAGGCACAGATGTGACAAACTAGCTTGAGACTTTGCAAATCGTACAAAGACTCCACGACATACACCAGTGAGCCAAAAAGAATGAAGAACACAAAAATTCCTCTAAACAGGAAAGCTTCCCACGTAACTCTCTTCTCCTTGAGACTCGCTATCATTTACCACGAGACACAAAGGACGCTCGCCGGGTATGCCAGGGCTTAAAATCGACTCATAGTGACTATTGCTTAACGACTATGCACTGGTTTTTACAAAGTCTTGGGTCTGAGTATCTAAGTGGATTATCAAAATAATATACCTATTCTCAATCAGATACAGATTCGACAAACACTAGTATATTCCCCCATCTCTCAACAACTAATAACTAAAAAAAAAAAAAAACTAAGTGTCATTTGTGAGGTTACAGGCGCTGTTCGGTTTTAACTACACTCACATCATATACAGACAAGGTATCTATTAATGAGAAAAATATCACGCCAAAGCATATATTATACACATTTGCTTTTGTAATAATAGTCAATCAATATGACAATCCTGAAACTAAATTCAGGCAATATCCCATTTTGTCTACTGTCATTTTTTCTTTTTGTAGCCAAAAATGACCAAAAAATCTGCCAAAACAGTTTACCACCATTGAGATACATGACATCAAAGTGAAAACTCTGCAATAGGAGTGGCCATCTGAGAGTTCCTTATGGATCCAGCGTTTAGGACTTAGTAACGGCTGATTATCAGTCTAAATAGTGCAATGATATCCATACAGGAATCTAGCAAACTTGCACAATTCGTCAAAGCTTCTCTCTAACCGACGCTATATCGGGTCTCTGCCAGAGTTAATTTATGACTAGCATACATCACTGGATGCAAAGATCCATGAAATTCTTGTAATAGAGTGGTGCCAATCCCAAAGTCAAAAGCGTCACATGGGATATAAAAACGTAAACACAAATCAGGCAAACTTAACAATGACATACAATTGAACGAACTTTGTAAGTCATGTAAACACAACCTTTTTTCAGTTTGTCAGGCTTGGTGACGGAATCAAGTGTTCATGATTTTTGCTGGAGTTGCCGCAGTAACAAGGTTCCAGCGTGATAGCTACATTTAGGATATCTAAAGGTAACGTGACAGGCCGCAGGCACGAGGTCTGGATGGTTTTTCACAAGGCTTTGTGCTTCGGCTTGCATGGTGTCTAGTGACAGTATATCTTATTACTTTTGGGCAGGACCTTTGATCTGTAAGTCTTGCCATGCTGCGCTAACATTAGATCACTTGGCCAGTTTGCGTGCCTGACAGGCCCAGTACAAGGTGTACACAGACCCTGAATATAGCCCGCCTCAGTAGACTAAGACGTTGTCAGCAAAAGTCAAGATTCTCCCTATACCCACTGCCGTTATTGCTTATATCCTGCTTGTTTTCACACTGAAACGCAAAACGTGTATGGATGATTGTGTTAAAACTCAAAATTTCCTTTCTATCACTGATATGAAATGGTATTTAGAAACTAGTATCTTCTTATTTGCTATTAAACAACTCCTTATGAGGAGGAAAATATAATATTCTGATTCCTTCTCTTCTTGCCTCATCAAACAAATACATATTGTTCTGTTTTAGAGTTTCTCTGATGTTATCTTTCCATTTTGTTCTTGATCTACCTCGTAATCACGTCCCTCGACTTTTTCGATATATGCCTTATATGGTTTCTCTAATTCCCTGTAAGAAATTATATCTGGCACTGAAAACATCAGTGGATGAATGTGATTTGTATGTGATGATCCTTTGTGTTGACTGGGGCCGTCTTGTGTAATGTTTTTTGTAATAGCTTCTTCTCTAAATACTTTATTTTCTCTTTCAGGTCGAATTGTGGTAATGCGGTTTGCTTTCATCGTTCTGTCACTATTCATGACAGCCGTAATGCTGAATATACAGGTCCCTGAACTGTTCATTCGAATTGCTGCCAGTGTGCTCCAGTTCATAGCAAGCGTACACAACGAGTCCATCATATACACAGTCGATAGTGACACATACTTTATTGCCCACTACAACGGAAATTTTACTGACGAAATACCGCCTCGTTGTGCGTTCCCACAAGTAAACCCATATGATCCAAGCATTATGAAGATTTCAGGGATCGGCAAAAGAACGATCAACTGTGAGGGAGAGTTCATGCCTGACATAACATATATTGAAGGAGGTAAAAAACTCATGGTTAATGTGAGCCGAGTTAAAAAATATTTCACCACAAATGATTTCAAGGAATGTAGCTACATAAACATTTATCGGCACGTGACAGATGATAATGATTATAAACTCAGTGAATGGTCAAAGCCTTTTAATGACAGTGTAGAACTTTTTATAGATACTGAATTTATAAAAGTGGCATGCAAAAACAACAAATCTGACGTTGTGTCAAAGAACTTCTACACTTTGATCCCAAAACGAGAACAGTTCGATGAATCAGATTTTCTCAATCTCAAAAAACGGCAAGTTGTGTCGTCACCGAAAGAAACGTTAAACGTAATTATGGTAGGGATGGACACATTAGCTAGAAATCAGTTTCTTAGGGGCTGCAACAAAACGTATTCATATTTGATGAATTCGTTAAAATCATTTGATCTAACGATGCATTCACAGCTGGGAAGTAACACGTTTGATAATTTTCTGCCGCTATTCGCTGGCGAATCATATGATCAGATCGCAAAATGGTGGTCAGACAAATATCATTTGGACAATATAGACTTGCTCTGGGGGTCATTTGAAAAGGCTGGGTATCGGACATTGTACACCGAAGACTGGCCGGGAATAGGGGCTTTTCATTATTTCAAGAAAAGTTTCAGAAATAAGTTTGCCAGATACAATACTCGGCCATTAACTCTAGCAATGTCAGAAGAGATAAATTTTTATAAACGTAGCCGTTACTGTGCTGGAAACCAGGTTGAGATGAACTTTTTGCTTAATTATGTCCTTCTCTTTCTTGACACGTTTCAAGATAATCCTGTTTTCTCTGTTGCAATGATAACTAAACCTACCCACAACTACCCGACAGACGCCAAAATGTTTGATGAACATCTTTTCAATTTCTACCGGTCCCTGAATCAAAGCGGCCACCTAAACAAATCTTTGCTAGTTTCCTTTTCCGATCACGGTGTCAGATGGGGACCATTGAGAGATTCTAAGTACGGATTTTTCGAAAGTCGCACTCCATACACCATCCTCACATTCCCAGACTGGTTTCTGAGAAAGTACCCGGATGTGGCTGCAAACCTGAAGGTCAACTCCAAACGTCTGACGTCTCATTTTGACACTTATGCAACTCTACTGGATTTGCTCTACTTCAAAAGTAACTCATCTTTATTACCAAAATCCAGACGCAGCATCAGTCTCTTTGACAAAATCCCCTGGGACAGAACATGCGAGGATGCATCAGTACCACAAGAGTTCTGCTTGTGTGGGTACCAGAATCTTGCAGATGTTGACACGAAATCACCGATTTCAAAAGCCTTGGCCGAACTTGTCATTGAAGCGCTGAATTCAAAAACCGACAAAAATATTTGCGCTTCTTTCAAAGTTGATCAAATAATCCACGTTCTTAATATTTCACTGTCCGAGGCAAATTCCAATGGTGAGACAACTCTGTATAAAGTTAATCTTCAAGTCACTCCAGGGTACGCCATATTTGAAGCCAGTGTTTATGCGACAACAAACTCAGCAGATTTCAGAGTGGCCAACAGCATTGATAGGCTCAACCTGTATGAAGGACAGGCGGATTGCATGCAGATTGCAATGTACAAACCTTTTTGTTATTGCAAGAATTTGTTACCTAAGAAAGAAAATACCCATCATTCCTCGTTGTATTTGAACATAACCGCAGCCCCTATGAAATAATATATATATATATATATGCTGATCTATAATGCCTTAACAATTATGTGGTTGAAAATCGTGAACAGTATACGATATTTAATCAAATATTCCAAGTGTGGATTTATTGTCCCGACCACATTTTAGGGCAAAAGTCATTGACCCACTTCCCCTAATGATCATGTCATGGATGGTGACTTATTTGATGTACTTCTTAAGACGTCGCAGTACATCTGCCTGAGAGGCGAGGAATCAACAAGCCAGATCTGTAAAATTGGTGTGCGGTCAGGACAGGGAGTGAGAGGCAATTTATTTCTTAGGGGGTCACCAATTTGATGAGCTATGAAATCCTTCGAGAGAGAAAAGTTAACTCTCTTGACGTGTAAGGCCAACGGAAACAAACCACGAGGAAGCCATTATGATAGTCCCTACTGGATTTATTTACTAATTTACTGATTTAAGAATCGACATCCTAGCACACCGGGCCTACTCATAGGGGTCCGTCTCCCGCAGCAAATGACGTAAGGTGTAGATGCTAAATACTCCCATAAAACACTGATTATACACACGAAGATCTCTTTCTCTCATCCGTCCCTCCGTGCAGGATCCACATTTCATTCTTCTTTCACACATTCTTGCCTATGTTATTTCATCTAACTTGGTGTATTCTGCCAAAAGTCGTTCACATATGGTCTTCAGAATAGCTTCCTTGTCTATTACAAGTGTCCCATAGCTTTTACTTTTGTAGACAGATAATCCGCTCTTTCATTCCCTCGCACTCCCTGAACAGTATATCCACGGGATTCCCTGCAATGTTGGCGTACTGATGCATGGTATCCATTTTGAACCTTCCGCAATTCCGACTGATAATCAGACACAATCATTCCTCTGGTAATTTTGTTTTCTGCTATCCACTTCAGAGCTGCAGTGATTGCCTCCACTTCCATTCTCAAGCTTGAAATTGTAGATAAAAAAGCTCCGTTTTGTTCTGCAACAATTTTTCCGTTCATTCTAGCTGAAAACCCTCAGCCAGATCTTACATCCTTTGCCCTAGTGATACTCTACTGCCTGCTGAACTTTCTACATGACCATAAAGGCTTGTTGAAAAGCAGCTAATCACTTGGAGGTTGTAACCTGAATACGTACCAAAGCAGATAGCTTATATCAGTCACCTTCTTATACCTGGTGAACCATGATTACAATCTATCCCGTAATGAAATGATAACACCCTTGGTGACTGCTAAAGCTGTAGCAGAATAGCCGGAGGTGATCTGAGTAGGACAGCTTTAATATTCTCATTGGCTGTCTTGAAGATTGACTGGTTAACTGACTTAAAGTGTACACTTGAACCATATATGTACAAGTGTTCCAATGTTTCTCTTAAGAGATACGTTGTTTTTCTCTCCCCGTAGATATATAAGTTGTCCATAGACAAGTCAGTAGCATATTTAAGGCCTGTGTTCTAATTTTAAGACAATAAACGTTTGAGATTTTTACTTAATTCTCAGTGTTTTGTCTCTTGTAATGTTTTGTGATTCTGAAAGAGTGCTTCTCCATCTTTATTTTGAACAAAGTTGGGGACTGAGTAAATTGTGGGACGGTATCTAACTAGATTCTCAAGGTGTCAACATGTTATCTGTAGTCATACTAACTATTTATTTCCTAGGACAAGCGTTGTTTTCTGTATTTCTCTATTATTTTCCAATCCGCTATGGCGTTTCATAATGCCAAAATATTTCAGCATCGGAGACAAGAAGCTGTTCGTCAGCCAAACTTCTTTCCTGTTTAGATTTTTTAGAATGGCAGTATTTCTCTCTCTTATTTGTTCATGGTATTCTGTGAAACTTGCTATAGAATTTCAGCTTAGTATTAGTAGTACCTCTGGCAAGTTGACCGTCATGTCCTTCTTAGGTTCACCACCATTGGGCTAGGTCTGGCATTCAGCTCTCTCCTGTGGCTCCCAGCAGCTGTCAGCTTGCGACGGCGGTTGCCCACTGGGCAAAAGATTTGACGGGCTGGCTAGGCCAGGAAGGGTAGCCGACCTGGTGTTGGACCACACGGTGATTGGGCTATGCCTACTCTTCATAAACAAACTGGGCACGGCGGACTGTGCAGATGAAACCTCTTACAGATAAACAGACAATAAGGCATTTACCAACTGGCTCTGTGGAGAGCTTCAGTTCAGGCAAGGCAGGGCAATTAAGGCGCCGTTGTCATCCTCTGCACCTAGGTTCATTTCCAATCCTCGCCACACTGTCCCGCCATTGGATCAAGATGGACACAGGCGAGAGAGTAAAGGCACCGAATGGAGCAACTCTTCTTCACTAAAAAAACTCCTTGCACAAGTCAATTTTATCCAGCTATCACTACTTTGGATGAAAATTGGTCTTGATCCCAAGTGATGGACATAGGTGTTCATCAATTTTGATATTGGTGGTTCATCGTTTTCTGGAGAATTTCATTACTTCTCTTTTATCTACATTCATTTGTCTTCATGTCATACTTGTTGCATTTTTATTATATGTTCTTGTAGTTGTTCTGCTGTTGGTGCTATGACTGACTGAAAAACAATTTATTTAGAAATTCTACCTTGTCATCCTCTTGCACAATAAGGTGTTCGTTTGCTCCGTAAACCTAGAATATATTCCATAATTTATCAACATTATCTCGATCGAAAGCTTTTTCTTGGTCTGCGAATGCGAACTCTAATTCTTTACTTAATTCTAATGTCCTTTCCACAAATCGCCTAAGTGTGAATATTATTACATCAGCACCACCCCTGTCCTCCCGGAATCTCATTACTGTTTATTGTGCAATATAGACAACGCTTATGACATTTTCAGTTTCTTCATATTTTAGTTTTTATTTGTGGTTGACAGACATATTTGTCTGTGGACGTTATTTTATTATACTTCATTATTTCAAGACTGAAAGATTTGTAAAGTTGCAAAAATGATGCTAATTATAGGGTGTAGAACAGACACCTCTTGTGCTGCAATGAGATACATCCTTGACTTTCCAACCATACACTATCGGAGCAAAAAACCTACCTGAAGACAACTGCATATCTGAAGCCTTTGCCTGATGCCACCTTTAGCGTGCGGGGGCGCGCACACACACATAAACACACACACATAAACACACACACACACATACACACACACACACACACACACTTAAAAGACAACAGGCTAAAATTAGGCAAATCATTGCTGGTTAATACATAGACATGCACCCAGCTAGGAACGGATACGTTTGCTTGGAACATTCAGTGACACTTTCTCATGTGTTGATGCATTTGATAAAAGTGGTCGGGGAAAGAGCCCTGGTTAGTCAATACAGAGTCTATGCGCTCACCAGTGACCCACTTTATGAAGCAGAAGCTCTTATCTACGCAGATGGGACCTTTGTATAATGACACAGAAGGGCTTAGAGAGGTATGTGGAATCACAACCAGTGCGGAAGGCAAGAATGACCAGCAAGACCCAGGAACGTTACGAAAATCTTCCACAGTTGGAGCATGGGATTTCAGGACCATTGAAGGCATCGCGTGTATTCAATGTACTTCTTCGTAGATGCTCTGATCTTACCCTTTCTGGAGTTCTGATAACACGAAAATCACTTAATATTGCCGGGCGGGAGAAGTTTCACAGGTCTTCCTATGCTCTAAGGGTGTAATGATTGTTATTTTCAGTTAGTACCTTCTTATTTTTCCACGCCTAGAGCGGTCGCCACTGTGTGTTACTTGCGTTGTGCGTTCGTTTTTCATCTCTATCATTACCTTAGGGCGACTTGAATTTTGCCAAGAATTTCCTTCGACTGTCAGCCTGTTATTTTTCCAGACCCAGTCCCATTATCATACGAATTCTGAAACCTGTGATGGTTGCATATAAGACCTAGTTGAGAGAGAAAAAAAAAAACACCAGTGGAACAGTCGCTAGTGCACGCTAGATGTTGTGAGGGCTCTTTGGGAGCGATTGAACAGTGTTCAGCCGGGATGCCAGGATCGATCCCAGCTGCTGACGGTTTCTCCAGCCATGGTTTCGACAGTAGTACAGAGAGCTGACCGCTCAGTAGGCAATGGCAAACTGCTGAACGTAAAATTTGCCTAGGAAAATCATTACTGCAAAAAACAAAATGTTGAATCAGTCTCAACAGAAGACAAATGTGGGCTACGATGCCGTAAACCTACCAAGCCTTAACGTTTACGAACTTGAGCTGGCACAGATAGATCACTACGGTCTAGGGAAAATGGCGCTGTGAGGTGTTACAGGGGATCTGGCCGGCTCTCAACACACAGCTTAAAGACGAGACGGATATACAATCAAATCAGACAGTTACTGGTGCCATCGGATTTGGAATTATTCTCTTGATCCTGAATATGTAGACAGTTTTTATCAGGGTATTCAGAGTACAGGTCGGCTCTGTGGCTAAGTCGATCCGAACGCTTCGTAGTGCCGGAATTCCTTGCTTTGGTTTCGACAGTGGTATTAAGAAAGCCGACCGTCCAGAGCAATGGCAAACTACTGGACGTAAGTTTGCCTAGAAAAACCACGCTGGTTCTGCAACGTCATGTAAAAGATACGCAACTAACCTAACCTATCCAGTGTACTGAGATGTCGATTCTTAAAAATAACTGTCGCTCAATGTCACCTATAACGAAAGAGAGCTGCACAGTATCGTTTCGTGCCACGAAAGAACAGGAGTCGCTTTTCCGCACCGTGTATAGACAGCGTTGGGGAAGGAACGATTACTCTAACACCCCTACAATGTATTACAGCCCAGAGTCGTTCAAAGCAACTGGTGAGTTGGGTGGAGCACATAGAACTTTACTCTGCGAGCATCTATTGAGCAATGAGGCTTAAAATTGCATTGAGAATAGGAAAGGGACCGTCATATATGAAGATTCGTCATCGTCACGCTTCAAGATTCGTAACTGTGTATACAGCAGGATTGTGTTCTACTTCCCACATTGTGTGCCATCTTCTTCACTTCATTGCTTCGACGTATTTTGGTACAAAAGT